GTCTAATCATTTTGTCTTAATATTATAATATACTAATACCCGATATAATAATTATTCTATATTTATATAATATATCGCCTAATGTATCCAACCGTCTAATTTATATTATATATCGTCTAATTTTTGCTTATTCATATGATATATCGTCTGATGTATCCAATCGTCTAATTTATATTATATATCGTCTAATTTTTGCCCAATTGATAGACGAACATAAACAAGTGCAAACAGTCCCGTAAAAACAATGCAGCTGTATAGAGTATCACCTGAATGTACAACAATGTATAGCTGTATAGATATCACATAATGAACATAGAATCTTAGAGTGCGTCTGATAATGTGGCCAAGGGAGTTGTATTTATGGGTTAACGATATCACATGTGCTGTGGTAGATAGGTGAAAACGTTACAAAATATATTCTGCCATTGATGCATTCGTTACATCGTCGAATTCCAAATTGTTCTGATGGTATATTCCTGAGAACCAACAGGAATTCCCANATATATACAAGTTCATATATAAGTTCAAAATGTTGAATAAAACAAAGAAAAATTATAGACATATGAAAGAAAGGGGGGGGGAATATTAAGTAAAAATAACAAAAAACCGTTTAAAAAAAAAATTTTTTTTTTAAAAACCAGGAAAAAAAAAGATAATCTTTTCATCAGCCCACACGATTGTATCCGCAAAACAGAGTGCTTTCTGATATTGTACCAATAAAGCCAAAGCAAATTATATTAGTATTAGTACAATAGTGTGAGGAGCACTCAAAAAAATTTTATAAAAATTACAACAAATAAAATAGAACACAAAAAGTAAAAATAACATGTAAAAACTGAAAATAAAATAAAAAACAGTATTAAAAAGGTATTATATACATATGCATATATATATATAATGAAGTTAAATATTTTTTTGACAAGATTAAATTTCAAACTTTGTGAAAGATGGAGACTATCCAAAATGATCCGTTTTATTCATTTTAAACAATGTTTAATCCACCCAAAACAAGAGGCCTCTCTAATAGATTTGTCCTCCCCTCAATTTGTATTTCATCATCCATATTCTCATTACATTATCGCATCTTCCCTCTTGTTTCAACAAGGAAAAATCTTCAACGGGGGAAAGAAAAAATTCTCTTTTTTTTTATATATATACCTACCCTTCTTTTTATTCTTTTATGAGGGAATTTTTCCACCGCGAAAATATTTAATCGCTTTTCATTCTTCCGCCTCCTCCCCCAATATCATAACCTTTTTTCCCCCCTTATTGAAGAGGGGGAAAAAAGGAGGGAGAGTTCAGAAAATTATTAAGTTTAGCATCAAGGTAAATATATTTCCACCCCACTTCGGTAGATTATGACTTTTTCCCTTCTCTTGGGGAAAAAGAAAGCAGTTTTATGAAGATATTCCCTCCCGACTTCGTCATTTCTTTTCTTTTGCTATACAATGCGCGAAAGTATCGTCGAATTTTTTTTTCAAATGTTCTATTTTAAAAGGGGTAGGGTTGCGTGGAATAAAGGCTAAGAAAAAGAATGAATTGAATGAAAATGAAACGGCAAATGAATGAAAAGTCAGGGTGGTAATGTTCCCCCCACGGGGTCCCAGTAGCCGTAGTTTAATAAGTTTTCGTCATACATCGGGAGGGAATATTTTTCGAATGATATTGTCTATTTTATGAATTGTTTACAAATAGGTCTGAGGATATTAAAAGTTAAGAGAACCTATTCGAAAAAAGGGGATGACCTAACTTGAGTTTTAAAGTTCGAAATAAATTTTTTTCAGCGGCTTTACTAGGTTGAGATTTAAACGGAACTCAATTATCCGAAGTAATACGGAAAAACTCTTGGAACTTCGGATAATCGAATTATTCCAGAGCACTGGTCCCATGTCCAAGAGTTCGTGTGTTCGATACTCACCGGCCGGATACTCCCCGTGTAGTAAACTGTGACGGATGCACGTTAAATCTGTCGAGTCGCAAAGTCCTCCATGTTCCCATAACAAATCAATACCTCTGGGGGTACTAATCCAGGAGTTTCCTTGTCTTCTGGATTGGTTCAAACTGACAAGGCTACGGAGTTGAACATTTGTAGTCGTAAACCCAAAATTGGATCTGCTGTTCAACGAAGGTTATAAAATAAAATTATAGAGGAAACATCGTTTTCTAATATATTTATTTTCCTAAGAGAGACTACTAAATCTTTTATAATAATGCTATGTAACATTTTTGATTTTAATATGATCATTTCATCTACGTATTTTCGTCAAATAGATATAGAGATACTTAATTTTAAAATTCACATTTTATGTTGGCAACGATCCTTTATGAAATAAACTATTGGAATACAGTAGCACCAAATTCTGATCAGTTGCAGTATCTCATTGATTTTCGATGGTGATTTCGTTGGATCAACTCATTCTTCTGGTTGTTTTGTAAATCCCTTTTACATTTTGTACTAAAGTATATGTTTTCTTGCCCACAAATTACAATAAACTTGCTTTTAACAGAAACGGAATTCAAAACCAAACTACTCATTAAGCAATGAAAATTATTTACATATCTCTAGCGAATGTAAAACGACCCATTACTGTAACGTTTATTTATTACTCACATATTATAAATATCTTATAATTCAGTACAAAGAATAATTTTTATACGGAGGCTTTAAGCACAGCCGAGCACTCAGAAAATATTCACCTCTAATTTATGGTCAGTGTGCGGTAAAAAGTGAATCCGTCGCGTCTGTAAAATGTATGCCATTAAATCTAACATGACTATAAAAATACGGGTCAACCCGTAAATGTTTTCACGAAAAAAAGATATGGCCATTGGCAGTAAATTAATGTTACGTTCGTAAGTTGTGACATTAACGTTGCATGAAAAAATTTATTAAAAGTAGAAAATGAGAAAGAAAGTCTTGAATGCCATTAAAAAACTAGAAAAACTTCAATTTTATAATAACTCAATATATTTATTTAAAAAAAAGTTAAATTTGAAATATAGTTTGTTTTTTTACTCTAGCCAAGGAAGTGAAATGAAGTTAAAAGCACTCTAAGAAAATGTGTTACACTTTTTGGAAAATCTCACAAAAATCTTTTTTTGTTTTTGTTTTTTGGTTCATGTTATTAGTAACACTTTTTAAAACTTTGAACTTCAAGATAAGAGAAGTTTTCATAATGTTCGATATCTAAATATTATGATCAAGAACACCATTAGAAAAATAAATTGAATCTCAACCTTTTAAGATTTTAACCTACATTAAATCCTAAAATTAGAACACATATTTCATACTGTTTAGCATATTCTAAAAAAATGAATAATTTCTACATATTTTTAAGGAAAAACGTCATCTACAAATAATCTACATACAAACCATCTACGGACTCAGCCGAAATGTTATTTCTATGCATTTAACTTACTATAACTATTTGGCTGTCTAACTTATAAAGCAACTCGTTGAACTTTCTGTTCATGGTTAACAAATAACTCAGAGTGCTTTTCATTTTGACATTTAAAAGCAGTGTTTAGATAGCATTAAAAATTCAAAAGGAAAGAAGTAAGTTTTGAGAAAAGTAAAACAGCACTTCACTTCAAACGGGAAGAAATTAGTTCTAAATTCTTCAAAAGGATTTTATTCTGAAGCTTATAAAAATTTGTGGAAGGATAATTTAGAATTTTATTTACAAAAAAGGAATTTCATACCGTTCTTAAAACGTGCATACGTCTTTGAAAATATCCGCATATTTTTCTTACTGCATTACTTCTATATCCTCAACGACAGTTAAAAACCCAAATAATTTAAATTCTTTTCTGACAGTTTTCTTTGATTCATTGTTGGCATAATTGCTTGAATTTCGTGCTCTAATTGTTTAAAATGCATTGCGGATGACTTATACAAATTCAGAAATAATGAAAATATTATTTTGATTGTACAATATTGTTGGTTAAAATATTAAAAATTTCCACCAAATCCTAATACTTCTTATTAATATTATCTGGGCGTATTTTATAGAAATCAAAAAAATGGAAAACTGTTAAAAAAATTTAAACCATTTTTAATTCTTTGTTCGAAGTCGAGCACTTTGTCATGAAGTCGAGCACTTTACGGTTACAGTTTAACGAGGACCGATACCGCGCACCCCCGGTTTAATTCGCAGGCTGATCAAAGTGGTCTTTCTCCCGCTTACTGACCGCTGCCAATGAAACTTGACTTCGATGTTCTACTCAAAACTGTGTCTCTACGATCAATCCATTGTGCGGTACTCTTAGAAAAAGAAAAGCCGTGCCTCCAAATAAACCCCACTAGAGTAAATGTAGGGCAACTTATATTTTATTGACTGCATTTAACTATATTTTAAAAAAAATCCTGCTTAGATAATTACTATGCACTTTTCATTACTGATTAATTATTTATTATTATGATTAAATTACTGATTTATTAAGCAATAGTGTAATTTAATACATTCTGTTACGGTTAATGCTAATTCTTAAAGCATATGTCGTATTACAAACATGAATTATACATTAAAAGTGATTTTTAAAGGAATTGAAAGTGTTTTAGCTTCTTGTTACCCATTAGCAAAGGAAATGCATTAAGTGGGTGAGTTTATTTTTGAGAAAGGGGACTAGAAAGATCCCATAAAATACTTCTTGAGTTGTGAATGAAAGATAATTTCACCATTTGAACTATATTTTTTGTTTTTATTGTTTTAATGAAGAATCAGAAATTCTAACCTATAGTTCAAACTGGATCGTTTTCAATACTAGTTCAGGTGAATATCACAAAGGGAAATATATAGTCGGAAAATGGGTAAAAAACTTAGACAACAACCATTTTGCCAATTTGTAACATATGCTCGCCTTTCGACGATCACTATTTTTTTCTTCTCTTTTTTTCAGTTTCTGATATTGTTCTTAATATTTCTTTAAAATTTGATGAATTAAATATTAATAAATTATGAATTATATTATATTAAACTATGAATTATTGTTACTTTCAGATGATGTATCATTGAAGTCTGAAACTGAAATAGTAAGTTTTTTTCAGATTTTTTCATAAATTAGTTGATGCAACTACTAGAAAAGTGTGTATCTGTAAACGTTTTAAAACATTCTATATATTACTATTAAAGAAAGAAAATTATTTCGCAAAGTCACTGTTTTGTTACTCTCTGTTTTGTATGATATTTTATTAAAACGAAAAAAAGTTTATTTAGTGATTCCAAATCGAATTCATTTTTTTTTTTTTTAAGAAAAGAAATCTTTATTTTATTTTATTTATTTACATTGTGCTTAGCGTTGTTAGAAATTGCTTAAAAGGTGCTTATTTTCCTTAAAATTCAATGTTTTTTCGACTAGCATTAAACAAAATATTACAAAATACATAATTTAAAATTATTTTTTTATGAAATTATCTTTGGATAAACAAATTTTATAATTGTGTACAAAAAATGTTTTCAGTTTGCTTAAAATGTTCCTGAGATATGACGAAGTACGTAAAAAGTAAAATTAACAATAAGAAGTCCAAACTTTGGATCGCTTTTCTGACCAAACTATGGGGACCTTATTTCCCTGATTGCGGCTGCCCTCTATATTCGGGGGGTCAGAAATTCGAATCTGTTGAAAAAATGTAAGTTTATTCGGAGAATTATAAAATTCGTTAGTTCAAAGATAGTTTAATGCAAAAAATAAATAGTTAATATTTATTATTTTTCCTTATTTTACTTATTATTATCGAAACAATTTTGAATAGTAAGATATACAAATTTTTGCATAATTTTAACTGAGGTAATTTTACATGGCAAAATGCGAAATTGGGGCGAAATCTGAGCATTCCTGAGAAAACAAATTTTAAAATAATGGCATATTTAAAATTGGATTTCTCAGGAACTATTCATCCGATTTCTATCGAAATTTGTCTTTTACAATGTAAAATTACATACTTTAAAATAATTGTATGCATTAGATTTCAAAATTTTTTCGACTNACTTTTACGCATTTGGCGTAAAATTTTATTTCTATATTTAAAGTGGTAGTAAAATGTATGTTTTCTATATATTTCTTGCATTTATAAATTTATTTTTGTAATCTTTTTGACCACCACTATTTTTTTAAAAAATAATCATATATACTAATACACGTTCGTGAAAGTCCGCATTAGCTTTTTCAAAATAAAGCGCATGTTTCTGCCTAAAACTGTAATTAAAATTAAATTTTACTACCACTGGGAAAAATCATCCTCGAAAGGATTGAAAGTTGGCAGGTATGGATATGACGAAGTACGTAAAAAGTAAAAATAACAATAAGAAGTCCAAACTTTGGATCGCTTTTCTGACCAAACTACGGGGACCTTATTTCCCTGATTGCGGCTACCCTCTATATTCGGGGGGTCAGAAATTCGAATCTGTTGAAAAAATTTAAGTTTATTCGGAGAATTATAAAATTCGTTAGTCCAAAGATAATTCAATGCAAAAAACAAATAGTAAATATTTATTATTTTTCCTTATTTTAATTAATTATTATCGAAACAATTTTGAATAGTAAGATATACAAATTTTTGCATAATTTTAACTGAGGTAATTTTACATGGCAAAATGCGAAATTGGGGCGAAATCTGAGCATTCCTGAGAAAACAAATTTTAAAATAATGGCATATTTAAAATTGGATTTCTCAGGAACTATTCATCCGATTTCTATCGAAATTTGTCTTTTACAATGTAAAATTACATACTTTAAAATAATTGTATGCATTAGATTTCAAAATTTTTTCGACTATTATTAAATAAAATAATAATGACTAACATTTATTTTTTCATAGAATTATCTTTGGAAAAACGAATTTTATAGTTACTTGCAAAAAATTTTTCATTTCGCTCAAACAGTTCGAGATATGTAAAATTATCATTATGGGGTCCAAACTTTGGACGGCCCTCCTGACCAGACTATTGGGTTCGTATTCCCCCCGATTGCGACTTCCCCCATGTTTTTAAGGGTTAAAAATTCGAATCAATGAAAGAAAAAAAATATTATAAAAAGCAAAAAAACTTATATTTAATTTCGTAATTTAAAATATCGTCTGTACAAATTAATTAGCATACTTTAAGTAAGACTTTCGAATTATTGAAAACATGAAAATCCCATTATTAGATGAAAATTTATTCAGGTTATTCCGTTTATTATTTTGTGTTCAAAAGATATAATCATATGCTCAGTGTGATTTTTTGGATACCATTTAGTCATTCATTTGAGAAGGGTGCGTAGCTTTTTTAAAAAAGTGCTTATTTTTGATTTACGTTTTTTAGAAACCCTTAAAGGAGCTTTTTTTAATTCGAGGTTTGTAAAAAGTGCTTAATTTAAAAAGATATTTTTTTTCCTTTTCGTCTCGATTGTTGCTCTTAATTACAAAAAATGCACGATTTTTCACAATTTTATGTACGATTTTTTAAATATTAGAAACTAGTTATTTTATCATAATTACGTAGAGTTTATGAATTTTATTTATTTTGTGTTTATAAATTAAGAATTTTACGCGATAGTAAAAAATAAATTTTATTACTGCGCAGATCCTAATTATGATTTTTTTGAAAAAGATTAAAACTATTTTTTAGTGCTTAAAAAGTTCTTAAAAGGTGCTTATTTTTTGTTGAAAAGTATGGCTACGCATCCTGTTGAATTATTCTGAAGAATAACAGTGTCATTAGAAGTCATACTGCTGTTGAATATTCGTTATTTCGAAATCTTTTTAGATTCATTTTTTTTTCATATTACTAAATTGTATTTCCTTTGCACAAAATATCTTTAAACTTATGAAGCATTTATTTTCAGTTTTATTGTTATGGATTTTAATACTTTTTTATTCGAAGTTTGCTTGAATAAAATAAAGAAATTTTTAGTTTTTATGGAAATTAGCTAATTTGTTTTTAAATTTATTTGTTAGTACATTAAAAAACAAATTTGGTTGAAAGCACAATTATTAACGATAATCTTAAAATAAACATATTTTAAAACTATTAAGAAAAAAAAATCAGTTTTTGATGTTCATTACAAAAAGCCATAAAAATAAGTATGATAAGAAAATATTTGTTTTTTACAAGAAAAGAACTTTTTTAACTCTAACATATTCCAATTTAAATTCATGTCTTATTATTCACATTAAAAACCTCAACTTCTTTGTTTTAAAAAAACGATTCAGTTTTAATTATCAGGAAATATTATAAAAAATTTAAGCAAAACACAAGCAAAAAAATTAACTTGAAACAACGAAACATCCTATTGCCATAAACAGTTTGAAAATAATCTAATTTCATTCGTGATGCAGAATTATGTAAATAGCCAAGTAAATAAACGGGGAAAAGAATATTAGAGCTTCAAGCTACATCACTAATTTTTTTCCCCTTTTTCTTAAGCATATAAACTCAAAATCCCGGCGTTTTATCGAACAACCACAGAAAAGGGAAATTACCATCATTATTTTAAGTGAGAAAAGATATGTATAAAAGTTAACGGGTGACCATTTTTGGTCGCTATTCTTGCTTGTAAGTTATTGCTGTTAATTTTTTTTTCTTGTAACCCTTCAAGGGAAAAAATCAGTTTCCCTTTTTTTTCCCTACTTTCTTCTGGCTCTTTTCTTTAGTTATCTCCGCCAACAGATTTTCCCTTCTTTTGGATTCTAATCTCCATTTATTGGTGTGTATATATATTTTTTTATTCTTGTTTTTATCCCCTGTAAGTTCTTTTGTGATTACATTTTATTCTGCATGCGTGTGTCCAACTCTACTTTTCCCTTTATTCCCGTGTTCTTACTTTCAACCCAAGGAGAAAATCTCTTTATTTTCCCCGTTTTATATCAATGTGTGTCAAGTGTAAGAGTTGGTAGGGCTGTAATACATTTGATAATAAACTACGAAAAACAAATAAGATTTAAAATATTTTATAACTGAATAGCCTTTAACGAATCTAGGATTTTAACAATAAAGAATTTAAAAAAAAAATTAAAGATACAATGAAAATATTCAATATTTCTCGCAGATTTATGTTTTTAATTTAAACCAATAGTACTCCAGTAACTGTACTATCAGTTAACCATCGAAAGTTAGGGTTGGATTTTCTTCCAGAACGCTGGAAGAAACTTTCGAAAAATGCTTGGAACGAGATAGAAGAAACTTCTAGAACAAACTTATAAAAAGAAAGAATGAGAAGAGATGAAAGAAACTTACAAAAAATGTTCGAAAAGAGATGGAAGAAACTAAAGGCTCTCCAGAGTTCGATGCTTGGTTACAATAAAAGCTTCAAGTGTTTCTAGATCTTCACAAACAGAATGAACTGCCATTTTTTCGTTCAAAGGAATTTACCATAATTCGAATTTCGATGATTTAAAAGGTCTGTCTTTAAACCTGACGGTCCTGCTAAACAATACAAAAGTATTTGACAAGTATTGGGGGAAGGATAGTAGATATCGACAATGTCATCCTTCAGCTATGAAAAGGTACCCCAATATAGAATCTAGTTAACATGTCTTGCATACTAGTGAATTTGAATTGTATTTTGGAAGTGGTAGACGCACTACAGTACTCCCCTACCAGAATTATATCTGTGATATATTTTGATACTACTAGTTGATCCATTGCTGTTTTGTGAGAAACCGGCAGAGCTGTATTAAGAACACCGTACTTTTGCTTTGGAGAGAGCTGTATTAAGTTAACAATCAGGGTCCTGTGTTGCCATTATCAGTCGAGAGTATGCAGGCAGGTGTGTATGATCGAGACTGAAAGGAAACAGCGCGAGGAGGTGGATAATGTCGCAGTCACAAGTCAACTGTTCAATGCAGACCATCTATCAAAGTAGGCGTGTTCAGATCGAAGTAGGCGTTACTCTCAAGATAGACGTGTTTATTTCAAAGTGGTAGTTTCTGTCAAGGTAGGCGTGTTCATATCACGTTCGATGGTCACCAATAAGGGGAGAGTTGTTATCGACTATGTCAACCTTCATCTATGATAAGGAACCCAAACATAGAATCGAGCTAACATGTCTTAT